CTGAGTTGCAAGCGAGCTGAGGAATTATACTGTATACCTTGAAGGACATAAGAAGAAAGAAATCAATATCCAGAAAGGATAACTGGGGCTGGTACATTACCGAATTTTAGCTATGTGACTGAATCCTTACTGGTTTACATACTTTAAGTTCTAGGTGACTAGGACTATGGCTTATTATCTCAAAAGTTCAATCTATAGTTTTCAACTATTTGAAAGAAACAAATCAAACTGCCTTATTCAAGAATGAAATGACAACAAACAAATGGTACCTAGGTTTCAAACAACGCTGATAAACAAAGCTTTATTGCAAAAAAACTTTCTTTCTAAAAAGTTAAGCCCCAACTTTAAAAAAAAAATATTAGCAAAAAAAAAGGTACAACCCCCTTTGCCCAGTAAACAAATTTAACATGCATGTTCATCGAGACTACACAAATACTGTCAAGAAAAAGTTAAACTAAAGTTAAGTCTGAAAGATAAAGTAAAATAATAAAAATAAAAAAAAGAGATTCAAAAAAGCGGAGTTTTCCAGTTGGCTCTGAAAACAATTTTAAGATGTACTTTTATTAAATTTACACAAATGCTGGAAGTTTCAGAGCTCTAGCTAGTCTGGTAGTAAAAAATTAATTGCAAGATTCCGAGACAACTGATAGCCGACAAACATCTTGTGAAGTCAAACTAACGTTTGAAAAAAAGTTACAAGTTTATTCTTAATTTTATACAAAAAAGTTACAAGTTTATTCTTAAAAGTTACAAGTTTATAAGCATTATTTTAATTGAATAAAATTTTATTTTTCTAATCATCCTTGTGCGGGTTGGACAACAACGCAAAAAAAGGAGGTTATAAGGGTGCCCACAACCTATAGTAGAAGATTGAACAGCTTTTCTTTTTTAAAATAGATTATATGTGATAAAATGCAATAAAAATGTAAATCTGATAAAAACTTCTTTAATCATATAAAGTATATCAGATAGTTTAAATGACTTAATAATTTTTTGAAAACTGTTTTAACAGTTGATGTCCCTGCAGATACCAAAAATGTTATATTGTGTCATATTACCATAACTAAATACTTGATTGAAAAAACAAATACAAATAAAAAAACTAGAGAAAAAGTATGCTCTAACAAACAGTGACTTTTACCCATAGTTTAGAAATTATGCCCCCTTTCCCTCTTCCTCCCCCAACAAAGTTTCATTATGGCCACTAACCTATTTTGTTTCTGTTAAACAAAAAAAGAAATAAAAAATCAGCAACTTTTTAGCAGCCCCTATTAGCACTTTCATAGCTCGTTTCTACACTACTGGCGTACCCACATGTTGACTATATTTGCCCCTAACTATAATTACTACTTATAAAAAAAAATACTTTGATAGTATTTTTTTTAGGTATATTATAAAGGGTAGTAATTATAATTAGTTTGAGTTTGATGCCCCTCACTGCCCACATACATCAGAGTATTACCTGATGTATTACCCAGAAATGCCTTCAAACAGGCAATGGATTTGAATACGCTACCTATCTCAAAATTTATGTTAAATCAACATGAAAAGACTGTTTTTGAGAAAGTAAATAATATAACTTACATTTTACTTACTTACAAAGTAAAGTATAAAATTTCAAAGAAAAAAATTCTTTTCAAATTACTTTTATGTAAGCTGTTTTTGCTTATTAGTTACTTTTACACATAAAAATAACTTGTTGTTATGATGAAGTTTTAATTTACTTTGTAGAGTTTGTGTTTTTTAAATATTATATTTACGTGAGTTTACTTCATAAATAACTTTTTTTTACATTTAAAAAGTAAATTTTATTTTGATGTAAATTTTTTACATAACTATAACCAAAATTACTTTTAAAGTAATTTACTTTACACGACTTACAATGAAAAGTAAGTTACATTTACAATTTAAAGTAACAATGCAAAACTTGTAAAAGTAAATTACTTTTTCAAGTAACAGTTACTTATTTAAAAAACTTAAATTAAGTAATTAAGTTTTACAGGTTAAATAATTTATGTAAAAAAAAAACAAATTACTTTTAAATGTAAATTTATATATTTTTTATACTTTTAAATGTAAGTATTTTTATATGAGTTATGTAAAGTAATTTACGTGTAAAAGTAATTTGCGCTTTTTCATCAAAATAAGTAAAATAATATAATAAAATAATGAAAATGACAAAGTTCTCGTTTTTGGTTATGTATCGTAATTTAAAATTAAAATAAACAAAATTGTTTTCACGTCATCATAAAATATATTAAGATCTTAATATGTACATTAAGATATTTTACAAAAAGAGATTGCATATTTAAATTAAACAAACATAAATAAAATGGTATTATAAACAAAAAACTCTCAAAGTCATTAAATAAGAAATCACAAATAAGATTTGTATACTCTAAAATATTCTTTTTAGCCATCCCTAATACTAAGAAGACAATCATTTAATGAAACACAATGTTATATAAAACAGAATTTTCACTAAATGTATATATTTTGATTTGACTAATCTTATTACCTTTCCCAACGATAAAGCAGAAAGAATTTTTCTTCTAATTTGATCTGAATGTTATGGCTATTCACTTCCTTCTATTCCAATTAAACAGGTTAGCCCAATTTTAGTCGTTCAAATAACTCCAGCTTCGGTTGCTAAAGTTGAATCTGAAATAAACTCTATTTACAAATGTTGCTTGTGGTCAAGCAACTTTCCTGTCATAGTCTTACAAAACTGTTCTCCAGAACTCTCTTTAATTATTTCTACACTGTTTAATAAATTATTGACTGAGATTTGTTTTCTTACTTGCAAGAAAATGGCATCTATTAACCCAATATTCAAAAACTCTGGTGAACATTCTAAACCCTTTAATTATTGTCCAATCAGCCTTTATTCTGTTGTTACCAAAGTCTTAGAGTCTTTTACAAACAAACTTCACACACCCCATTTTAGTCAAATAGCTTACTGTCAGACAATCAATATGGTTTACAATCCTCCTGCTCTACAGCTGACTTGCTAACTGCGGTATCTAAAAGATTTTATTGTGAAATAGATGGAGGCAAAGAGGCTAGGGCAATTGCTCTTGACATACCTAAGGCTTTCAACAAAGTTTTGAATGCTAATCTTCTCTGTAAGCTTGTTTTATAAGATGTATCTGGGAAAGTTTTTGAAATCCAAATTATTCCTTTCTAACTGCTTTATTATAGTCCTGATCAAAGGTTGACTTTTTTTTCTTTCCAATAACTTCTAGGGTACCTTAATGTTATATACATTGTCTTCTTTTGTTTCTTATCTATATTAATGATTATCCCAACAACCCTAAACCTAAGTAGCTCTTTTTACTGATAAAGACAAAAGAGTAAACTATATACTCCTGTTTTGACAAAAAATCTTCTCTTTATGATCGCTTTGAACTGGCAGCTGATCTTAAATCAGATCTCACTTCTAGGACAGATTGGAGCTCTTGGTGGCTAGCAAAGTTTAACTCCAACAAAACTCAGACATTTACTGCAAACAAACCCATTTTTTACCGCAGAAGTGTTGACATTCCTATACAAATGAACAGCAACCCTCTCACTGATTCCTCTTTATTCAAGGATTATTGTTTACTACTGATCTGTCATAGAGATAATTTATACAATCAATTGCAAAACTAACATTTACTAATGTTGCTTCTCTTTACTGTGCCAGCCCTTTTCTCTCTCTTCATTCCATTCTCTACATCTACAAATCTCTAATTCGTCCCTGCATGGAATACTGTGGTCATATTTAGAATGATTCATCAAATGATGCAACATCTCATCTAGACAAGGTACAAAAAAAAGTGTAAACTTAGTTGAAATAACTCTATCTGTTAAGCATTAGCCTCTTTACCATCAACATTAAGTTGCATCTCTTTCTATTTTTTACAAATACTATTATGATCACTGCTCAAAGGAGCTATCATCACTAGTTCCATCAACTCAAACTTACACGACTCATCATTCAGCATATACACATATAACTTACACGACTCATCATTCAGCATATACAGCATATACTTTTAAAAAATCAAACCATGCATGCTCTAAAAACATTTATTCGTCTAGTTAATTTCCTCAATACCTTACCCGATTAAAACTTGCAACCACATACATGTTTTATTTATGCTTACAAGATGTAAATAGAAAACGTGGAGTAAGGACTTGCTTCTCAAAAGAGTTGCCGCAATTAAAAAGCATCATAGCAAGTAAAGCAGATGTGCTAAAACATTTAACTATGTCTAAAAATAGTATATCAGTAGTTTCTTAATTCGTTATTCTGCTATTAGTAGATGTTGCTAAACGTATTTTGTAAATATATATAGGTGATATATATTTACAAAACTTATATTATACTGTATATTTTATTTTAATTTATTTCTTACTTGATTAACTTTACAACACAAGTCACACCAAAATCTTTAAATAATAATACAGGGTCACTAAAAAACAAATCACCTGATGACCCCCAGGGTACCACTTCAAATGTGCTTCAAATTTTAACCACCCACAGTAGTTACGACAAAAATACAAACCTCAAAATTTCAGCTTTATTGACTGAACTGTTCAAAAGTTATGATAATTCTTATAGAAGCATATGATTTTGGTATATAAGTTTTTTTAATGCCAATTTTTGTTTTTATGTCTGCTAACATTTTTATATACAAATAAGTTTACAAAATTCTAGTATGTCATTCATGATAAAATCATTGTTTGACAAAGGTTTCTTTTAAAAATAAATAAAAAGTTGGTTCAATACACTTGTTGTTGTTGTTTTTTTTGTTTTATAATATTTAAACTTTAAAAAACTAATGTTAGGACTTAATTTGATTAATAAGTAATAAAGAAAATTTTAAAATCATAAACAACTTCAAATGTCAAATGCATACTATTGTTAAATTAAATTAACATGTAAAAGTAAAACCATTATAAAAATTTGATTTTTATAATAAGTCATAAAGTGAACAAAAAAAAAAAATTCAAACCATTTGTTGATGGTAAAGTAATAGAACTAGTGGTTGTGCTATATGATGTAATATAATTTAGATTCTCTGTTGCAGTATTGCTTGTTAAACGATCAGAGGATGATGCAATGTTGCTTAAAGAACTGGTTAAGTAGATTGAAGTAGAATCAATGGTTTTTAGAGCACTAGTGTACCATGATGTACCATTATTTATCATTATAATCGTAGAATCATATGCTTCTATAAGAATTAAAAACAAAATTTAGAATTAATACTTTTAGTATTATTAAATAATTACTAGAAAATAATTTAAATAACAAACTGTTTAACAGTAAATATAAAATAATGAAAACAATTCAGAATTAAAAAAAAAAAAATGTATCTGATTAAATACAGATTTAAAGTTAACAAAAAAAAAATTATACTTATTTTTAAACAAATAATATATTTAAAATTAATTTTTGAAACTGATATAAAAATTTAAAGAAATACTGTTTTTTGTTAAAACAAATGTAAATTTTTGTTTTAGCATTAAACAAAAATCTAATGTTTTTCCAAATAAAAATGTAAAAATATTAATTTATAAAACATTTACACACCACGAAAAAAAAAAATCTATTTATAAAGTTTATGTTTATTTATATGTGAGGAAGTATATAAAAAAGTTTTAATGTTGTTTAAGTCATCGGTCTCATTAAATTGTCAAAAGATAATATCTAATTTTAAAATAAGACAACATTTGAAGATAAGACAAACAATTCATGATTTTTTAATATAAAAACATAAATTAATTATTTATAAAACATTTAGTTATTGTGAAAAAAAAATCCTTTATAAAAAAATTGTATTTAAAAGTTAAGGGTTATATAATAAAGTTTTAATGTTATTAGAATCATGGATTTCAACGAATAGTTAGTTTCATTATGAAAAAAAAACAACCCTTAGGGGGCATCCATAAAGTACGTACGCAGTAAAACAACTAACTTAGGACCCCCTTCTACACACCTGCATGCTTTTAAAAAACCCTCACCCCCCTCCTTCATACAAATACAATATTTATTACAAAATCAACCCTCTTTTCCCAAAGCATAAATTGCATTGAAAACAAAAAAACTTTTAGTTAATTTAACATTTCTCAAAATTTCAGCTTGATTGACTGAACCGTTCAAAAGTTATGATTGATTTAATATTGACAAAAACCAGAAAATTTCAAGTACCTGGAGCTTACAGTAGATTTTTTCGATTTTTAATAGAGCATAACTTTGTAAAAAAATAGGCGATCACTTGGAATTTTGTATGTTAACAGTTTTGAAACCAAATAATCTAATTTTGTAGGTGTTTTTTTGATCGGCTTTAAGGAATTGATGAGTTATTGTACCCTAAAGTTGCTATAAAACGCAATAGTAGGAAAACTTTTGGAAACTTTTATGTGCTGCAGTTCAATACCTAAAGACAGGCAGTACCAAATTTTTTTCTACTTTTGTGTGCTTAGAGCAACCACTTGTGGAAAAAAATTAAAATTATGTGTTAAAACTTAGTTAAACACTTGCAGCAGCCTATTGAAATATCACTTTTTTTGAAAAATATAATAAATTACACTTTGCAGGTATAGAAAATAGCGTAAACAGTTGAAATAAATTATGAAACTTTTTACTGGTGAGGTTCTATATATAGACAATCACCGAAGAAAAATGTTAAGACCTATACTCTATTTTATGACATAATTTTAGCATTTTGAGTGCAATGCTTTTTCGGTTAAAAAGGATACCTAATGGTGCAAGTTATATCGTATTTAAAAAAAAATAAAAATAAAACTGCTGAAAGAAGAAGTGTATCTGCACATGAAACACAAGTACAGTAATTTCTCTATCTATGATTTACATAACTCATAATACTGCCATAATCATTATAAGCAAGTTTGTAGTCAGGAGCACTTCTACGCTTAATGGATGGAGCACTTATGGACATATTACTTTGTCCAATGGAACCCAACACTGACTTGATCATGCATCATTAGTCCATTTTAAATTTAATTTGTTTCTATGCATGAATTTTACATCTTCGTTTTCATTGCAAATCTCAAGCACAAGCTCTATGTACCATACAAAAATAATTTCTATCCACCTGGTACAAAACTGTGATAGCTTCTTGTGCCAGGGACTGTGCTCATCTCTTCACATCGTTTCTTCAGGTTAAAATAAGTTTCATGCTTATTGATATCATCACTTAAAATGTAAAATATGTAAACACCTTTAATGTTTTTTCCAGCCCATGTAAACAGTTCATTTGGTGTGACAATCTGGTTTGCATTTGCTGCTCGTAGACTCGCTTTTGCTGCTTCTTTTTTTTATAGTTCCTCCTATTCCGTCACATGGACTTTTGCCATAGGATGTAGCAAAGAAGTGATGCGCAGCATTTATATTGTCGTACCTTAAGATGTGGTAAGTAAGATTGTGGTACTTATAAGATGGTACCTTAAGTTTAACATACATTTGTAATTTTTGTACTGTGACACAGCACCATCAATGAAGCATTTTACTTTATTGATTGTGGGTAGTTTCGTTTTGATCATAGGGAGTAACTTTGTCAGAAAAAAATGAACTGTTGTTTGGTCATGGCGAAGATGGTCAGAAATTGTGCAATAGCATTCGCGCTTGAGTTGATTTTTTTCATCTTTGTAATAAACAGCAAAGGGATGTAAGATAGCTTGATCGGCTTGCCAGTAAAACCCTTGTACAGCAAGTTGCACAAGAAAACTATATATTTCTATGCAAAATACATAAGAAAAAGACAAGCGTGTTGATCTAATGTTCTTTTTGCCTCTGATAAGTAGGAGGATTGTGCTTTTTTGATAAAATGGTGGTGACAAAGTTCATACAAAGTTTCACTTAGAGTTTCAATAAACTCAATAAGGCTTGTTTGGACTGTGAAAAGTGCAGCTTGGTCAGTTGACATCAATGTATCCGCATAAGAAATAATATAAAATTTGTTTAAAATTTTGTTTTTGTTGTGCCAATTTTGGTATATAAGTTTTTTTAATGCCAATTTTTGTTTTTATGTCTGCTAACATTTTTATATACAAATAAGTTTACAAAATTCTAGTATGTCATTCATGATAAAATCATTGTTTGACAAAGGTTTCTTTTAAAAATAAATAAAAAGTTGGTTCAATACACTTGTTGTTGTTTTTTTTGTTTTATAATATTTAAACTTTAAAAAACTAATGTTAGGACTTAATTTGATTAATAAGTAATAAAGAAAATTTTAAAATCATAAACAACTTCAAATGTCAAATGCATACTATTGTTAAATTAAATTAACATGTAAAAGTAAAACCATTATAAAAATTTGATTTTTATTATAAGTCATAAAGTAAACAAAAAAAAAATTCAAACCATTTGTTGATGGTAAAGTAATAGAACTAGTGGTTGTGCTATATGATGTAATATAATTTAGATTCTCTGTTGCAGTATTGCTTGTTAAACGATCAGAGGATGATGCAATGTTGCTTAAAGAACTGGTTAAGTAGATTGAAGTAGAATCAATGGTTTTTAGAGCACTAGTGTACCATGATGTACCATTATTTATCATTATAATCGTAGAATCATATGCTTCTATAAGAATTAAAAACAAAATTTAGAATTAATACTTTTAGTATTATTAAATAATTACTAGAAAATAATTTAAATAACAAAGTGTTTAACAGTAAATATAAAATAATGAAAACAATTCAGAATAAAAAAAAAAAAATGTATCTGATTAAATACAGATTTAAAGTTAACAAAAAAAAAATTATACAATTAATTTATTTAAAATTAATTTTTGAAACCGATATAAAAATTTAAAGAAATACTGTTTTTTGTTAAAACAAATGTAAATTTTTGTTTTAGCATTAAACAAAAATCTAATGTTTTTCCAAATAAAAATGTAAAAATATTAATTTATAAAACATTTACACACAACGAAAAAAAAAAAATCTATTTATAAAACTTATGTTTATTTATATGTGAGGAAGTATATAAAAAAAGTTTTAATGTTGTTTAAGTCATCAGTCTCATTAAATTGTCAAAAGATAATATCTAATTTTAAAATAAGACAACATTTGAAGATAAGACAAACAATTCATGATTTTTTAATATAAAAACATAAATTAATTATTTATAAAACATTTAGTTATTGTGAAAAAAAAATCCTTTATAAAAAAATTGTATTTAAAAGTTAAGGGTTATATAATAAAGTTTTAATGTTATTAGAATCATGGATTTCAACGAATAGTTAGTTTCATTATGAAAAAAAAACAACCCTTAGGGGGCATCCATAAAGTACGTACGCAGTAAAACAACTAACTTAGGACCCCCTTCTACACACCTGCATGCTTTTAAAAAACCCTCACCCCCCTCCTTCATACAAATACATTATTTATTACAAAATCAACCCTCTTTTCCCAAAGCATAAATTGCATTGAAAACAAAAAAACTTTTAGTTAATTTAACATTTTTCTCTTTCATAACATATTGATTTTTTTAACTCTTGAAATGCATAGCTTTTGTTAATAAAAAGTTTTTTATAAGAAATAGGGAGAACGAGAGATAATTAAACTCACTGCCTTTAACATCCCCTTCCTATTTGTACGTATTCACATATCTTTTTGGGTAACTCTCTTTCCCCTATACCTAAGTATGTTCATTATCTATGACCCCTATATAAAATTTATGTTGTATTTAAAATTTAAGTGTTATATAATATAGTTTTAATATTGTTAAGACCATGGATTTCATTAAATAGTCACCAAATGATTTATGATTCTAAAATAATACGACATCAAGGTAGCTTTCAGAAATGGAACATTTTAGTCAATGACGATTAAATATATGACAATATTAAAAAAATATATAATAATGTTGTTATTTATCTAAAACAGAATATAATTTGGGGAAATTATCTAAAACATTGAAGTACTAAATTAAGTTATTAAAAAATATTTTGTTTTATTAATGTGATATTGACAAAAATGTCTTTTAAATTAGGAAATAAGGATTCTATTCAACAAAAATTAAATAAACTGAAGAGTTTTAAAATAAAAAAAGTGTTTTAAAATAGTTTTTTATAAAAGATTTTTATGAAATCGAATTTTTGTGATTTTCAGTGATGTAACTTTATTGATTTGTTCTATACTTTAGGCTGTACTTTATTCTATGCATTAGAATTTATTTATTCTCTAATTTAGATTTAGACAATAAAAAACGTAGTTTTATTTTTTTATCTTTTTTTTTGTTAACACTGTTAACAAAAAGTAAAATAACCTTTTACGAAAATATATTTTAATTGATTACAGCTTTCTTGTAAAGTTTTTCTTGTTTTAAATTAACATCTTCATTTAGGGTTTACAAGGTGTGAACAAAAAATCTGCAGTAAGGACTTGCTTTTAAAAAGAGTTGCCGCATTTGATAAACATCATAGGAAGTAAAGTAGAAATGCTAAAACATTTAACTGTCTAATATTAGTATTTCTGTAGTTTGATATTTTGCAATTAGAAGATGGTGCTAAACATTTTTTGTAAATATATATTGGTCATATATATTTACAAAATTTATGTAATACAGTATATTTCATTTTAATTTATTTCTAACTTGATTAACTTTACAAAACTAGTCCCACCAAAATCTTTAAATAATAATACAGAGACATTAAATAACAAATCACCAAATGGTCCCAAGGGTACCACTTCAAATAAGCTTCAAATTTTGATCACCCACAGTATTTATGACAAAAATACAAACCTCAAAATTTCAGTTTGATTGACTAAACCGTTCGAAAGTTATGATTTATTATTGAAAAAAACCAATAAATTTCAAGTACCTAAAGCTTACAGTAGATAGTTTTTCGACTTTCAACAGAGCATAACTTTGTGAAAAAAAAGGTGATCACATGAAATTTTGTATGTTAACAGTTTTGAACCCAAATAATCTAATTTTGTAGGTGTTTTTGATTGGCTTTAAAGAAATGATGATTTATTGTACCCTAAAGTTGCTATAAAACGATATAGTGAAAAATAGATAATACTTTCCTATTCAAGGTTAAAAAACACTCTATTAACTAGTAAGTGCTTAATGCTGTTTTCATAAAAATGCAACTCTCACAGTAAATAAAAAAACTCTAATACAAAATACAAACGCCATCTTCTAAAAAAAAAAGTCTCAAAGTGAACAACTCCAAAGCATTGTATAGAAAATCATATAACTATTAAATAAAACATAGCACTTGCAGAGACAGTTTTCAAAAGGGAACTTACACACCAACTATGTTACAAAATAGAGTACAAATTCATAAACCACTCCGAATATTTTATAACTTATTCAACTATGTAAACATAAAAAAGAAATTCAACGAACAGTATATCAAATAAGATGCCTCCTATCAAAACACTAAAACCAGCAAATATAAAACTAACTTCTATAAGAGTGACAAAGGTTTTCTTGAAAAACTCACTCAATAAAACATAAAAACGTTAAAAACCTTTCTTTGTTGTAAAATCAGCTGCATTTGTCGTTCCAACATCAATTATGGGTGAAATTGCTGTTGTTCTTGTGGAATCACATATACGAGAGTGATGTGTTGAAA